AACAAATTACGATCCAAGACAGTGCATGCTGCCCAATCCATATAAAACATCACTTCTTTTACCACAGATTGTTTTAAGTTGTGTTATGAAGGAAGAAAGAATACAGCTGAAAGGTTTTAGGGTGATGTCATAGCAATAACAGATTTTTCTCATTACTTTGGTAAAACATGCTGTTGTGATTAGTTTTCTTGGTTTTATGTCAGTCCAATAGCAATATAAGGAATTTCTGAGCCTTCAAAAAGTAATAAAATGTGGTACAATTTTGATTTTCAGAGAAAACAACTTGGAGTTTCTGTTTATCAGTAGGTTCAGAAAGTCTGTAGAAATTTAAAGAAGCCAGAGGCCGCATAGTGGATTGCATTTGCCTTGTTAGCAAAAGTGAATAATCCATCGCTGGAGGGTAGGAAGGATCGCTTTCCACTGGGATCCAAACAAGCAGACAGAATTAATACCAACAGTATGCCTGTTTAAAAGCAAACAAGCCATGCACAGAGTAAGTTTGAAGTGGAGACACTTCTAGGACGGGCCATATTATCATTCTCTATGTCCTGCAGGCATCTTCAAAAACCTATTTCGAGTTTTAATTTTTAGGTGCAAAAAGTGGAAAATCTGTGGAAATGAGCCAAGTGTATTTTGGGAGACATCGGGTGGTTTTACCTTAGGAAAAAAAAAGGGTTTGCTAACTAAATCAAGTGAAAACAGGATTAAAATCTGGTTGTTTCTTGGAATCAGAAGTAAAAATCAAGATAATAAATTTTTTTTTAATTATTATTTACATAATTTTTAAATATTTCCAAAATCATGTTCAATAGAGCAAGGAAATTTTCACAGTATGTGTGATAATATTTTTTTTCTTCTGGGGAAAACCTTATTCGTTTTGTTTTGGCTAAAATAAAAGCAGTTTTTAATTTTAAGGACAAAATTATTAGCTCCTTTAAGCAATTTTTTTTCTACATAACAAACCATTGTTACACAATAACTTGCCTTGTTACCCTAACATGTCTAAATAACCTAATTAAACCAGTTAAGCCTTTAAATGTCACTTTAAGCTCGATAAAAGTATCTTACAATATCTAGTAAAAAATAATATTTGCTGTTATCATGGCAAAGATAAAATAAACCAGTAACTAGAGATGAGTTATTAAAACTAATATGTTTAGAAATATGTTGAAAAAAAGTCTATCAGTTAAATAGAAATTGGGGGAAAAAATAAACAGGGGGGCTAATAATTAAACTGTATTCAACTGTACTTAAAATAAAGCACAATTGTGTCAAAGCTGATGCAAATTCATGTAAACCACTAAAATGCTGTATTTACATGGCAGGTGATAAGTATTCTTTTGATTGCCATGCAAGTCTGTAGACTTAACTGAAAAAAGATCATAAGAAGATAACACAAGAAAGTGTTAGGTAACCTCAGTGACTTTATTTTGCAGACATTACAATATTTGAATAATCAAAATGTTATCTGTCTTTATACTCTATATCTGTTCTCTTTTCTAACTGTATCTAAAGATTTAATTTGCAAAATAACATCCATTATTAAAGCTTTTTAGTATTTTTTTAGCAATTGTATTCCTCAGCACACAACACAAAAAACATAAAACATGATTTATGAACATTATTAAAACTTGAGTTTTTGGAATGTGTTACAAATGGGAAATAAACTGTACACCAGTCCTAATTTTAAGAACTGGGGTCCCTCACATTGGGATTATCACATTTCATGATCCTTGGCAAAAACAAAAAGTATTAGAAGGTACTCTTACAAAAAATATTAAAGATTATTGTCTATTAAGTCACTCTAAAAACTTAAAAGGCTTTTTATTATTATTATTTCAGTGTTGGTGTTGTTACTATGTTTGCTTTTGTTATGCCCTCTCATCAAAATGCTTATTTTGTCTTGAAGTCTCCTAGCATCAGAGCAAATAAACACTCTGCTGGAGTTGCTCAGAGAATGTGCATCAGCTTTGCCAAAAGTTGTCTGCGCTCGAACAGCCCAAAGCATTTTGGTAGGAGGGTTGGGATTTATTGTTGAATAATACATGAGGAGGAGCCACACCAATGTCTCACCCAGGCTTAATGAAAGAGAACATGTCTGCACACAAATCAGTCATGAATAAACATCAGACGGTAATTAAACTTGGTGGCTGCAACTTTATTCATTAGTAAATAAGCAGGAGCGCGGCTTCTTGTGCATGGAGGGGATTGGGAATGAAATGGTAATTGGAGGTCTTGTCTGATATTGCTTGGTAAAAGAGCCTTTCTGGTCAGAGAGAAAGCTCAGAAACTGACCTCATTAACAGCAAGTTAATTCTCTTGCACTTCATTGGCAGTTGGTAAAGGCATAGCTGTCAAACTGAGGCTCGTATCTCTACTGCATAAAGATTAGAAAAGTTCATCTCATTGCTGGTTTAGATGTAATGAGTTTCACGTACGATACATTCATGTAGCAGAGTTGTGGTGTTTGGGGTGCTTTTTATCAGAACTGGTTTTTTTATTAATTCGATGTTGTATTTTTGTGCATCTAATTCATTTTATGGACCTTAACTTGAAAATGTGCATCATGTAGCATAGTGCTGAAAAACTGAACATACACTGTAAAAAAATGCAGGGTTCCACACAATTCATGTATTTTTAAGATGACTTATGATTAAGTTAACTTTACACTTTTAACAAATTTATGTGGATTATACAAAAAAAAAAAAATAGTTGTCCCAATGAAATCTCAAGAATTGTGTTGTTTCAGCTCATTTTAATTAAGTAGTTTGAACAAGTACAAAGAAAAAAACTTTTTTTTGAGTGTACGCTGGGTTCCACATAATCAATTTGTGTTGGGACAACATGAAGAAATTAAGTTATTAAGTGAATTAAATTAAGTGGATTTAAAATAAAACAAAAACAACTCAAGAATTGCAATGTTTCAGCTCATTTTAAATTTGCAGTTTGAACAAATAACAAATGTCATTTTATGAGTGTACTTATGAAATAAGAACACATTAAATTAGATATGAGGCAATTAAAAACATTTACAATCTTACAAAAGGGTCATGTTTTAAATGGTGAACTCTGTCAAAATCCCTGTATGATCTCTTAAGGAAATGTATTCTACATATTGCCAGAAAAGTGGCTAATTTGTTTGTTTTGTATGAAAATGTAGAATTTTTAAAATAAGGCATGTCCCCAACCTACATAAACCTACCCCTTACTGTGGGATAAGCACATTTTGACTAAAATGTACAAATTAATATGAGGGCCTTCAATTACTTCAATTACTGGCACTTTTAGCCTTGTGAAGTTGGGTAAAAAAAAAAAACTTTTTCAAAATAAATGTAACATAAGCCTCATAAGTTTAAACAATTTGTCTAGTTTTAAAATCTGTAAGAGGCCAACCTTAAATAAGAAGAGAAACTTTTTTGTTCATCGTAAACTAAACAAATGTCAATTCCACCACATCTTAATATACAGCTTATTTTAAAATGAAATAAATTATGGCAGTCAAACATCGTCTAAGATCATTTTTGTATCTAGTTTAACTAATCTTTCCACTATAAATATATATAATTATACATTTGTCAATGAAATAAATTAGTTGTATGCTGAATTGTACACCTGTAACCTAAAATTTAATATTAATTTGGTTACAAGTTTATTAGAAAATAAATAAACTAAATTTGTATAGTAAATATAGCATGAACTTATACATTGTGAATACACTTTTAATGTGTGACGAGAACTTTTTAAATATTTTTTTTTCATTTGTGTGGTGATGGAAATGACAGTGGTGGAAATGACATTTCAACAGTTTATTGTGAAAAAAAAAAATGGAAAATAGCTTTACTGATTAGCTTAGAATTTATACTAGCCGTTCATGTATACAAAACGCTCTAATTTATCTTAATTTTGTTTGGTTTTTAAAAACATCTTTAAAGGTACAACATGTTTGGAAATAACGTAGAATAAATGTATTTCCTTATCAAGTAATATTTAGGGTTGATAAAAATTTTAATTCCTTCCATCTTGAGCATGTTCTCAGATGACATAATTCATTTTCATATAAACCACCTTAATAATCTTTCACACAAACTTTTTAAAGCGACATTACAGTGTTGTGGTGGATATGACACTGATACTGTGCGACAGCTATATTTTGTATAAAAAAATAATATTGATATTAGTCTCAAATTAATAACTATCAAATATTTAACTTATTTCACTAATGCTTAATTAAGATACATTAATAGTTACCAGATAAATAATATTTTTAAATGTTATTTTCATTGTTGAAGTTTTGGGTGTGCAACAAGGTGAAAACAGTGATTTTGACACCTAAAAGAAGGTTAAATAATATAAAAAAAATATAATAGAATGCTAGATTTTTTTGTAAAGTAGCTTTTATTTTTAGTTTGACAAAGAAAGAGGAATTTGATCAAAATTATATATATATATATATATATATATATATATATTTGAATATATGATCAAAGGAAACAAAAGTGACTGTAGTTGAAGAATTACCCATGAATGAGCAACTATATCGAAAAGAGAGCTCACCAAAAAGTTATTAATATATTGGTAAATAACATTTTAATATATATTTTTTAATATTAAACATGCAGCACAAGCTTTATATAGATATAAAGTCAGATAAAGACGAACATATAGATGGTGTTAATATACTTATACCATTCTTAACAATCAGATGACAATGAATACTAGAGTACTGCTTTAAGAGAAATAAATGTTTTTAGCTATATATTACAATAGAACAGAGTTATTTTGAAATTGTGATAATATTTCATCATTTAATTTCTAAATTTCATCTTTAAGCCTTTCTGAGCATAAGAGACACTATCAGAAAATAAGGAGGGAACATTATTGTGAATAACTGATATTTCTTTGTACTCGTGCAATCTTACAAGCCTTAAAAAATTAGAGAACCATTGCTGTATAGAATATTATGTTTAAATGAACACATCTTCTCTTATCTTTTTTCGCAGCCTGCAATTGTAACCTTCATGCGAGGCGCTGTCGTTTCAACATGGAGCTTTACAAACTCTCTGGAAGGAAAAGTGGAGGAGTCTGTCTGAACTGCCGCCACAATACAGCTGGTCGCCACTGCCACTACTGCAAAGAGGGCTACTATAGAGACATGTCCAAGCCCATCTCCCACAGAAAGGCCTGCAAAGGTATGAAGGATACTAAAGCTGCACACCATAGGCAAAAACAGGGTGACCAGGTTTGGTCTTATGACCCCAAAGTCTGCAACTTAACACTTGACTCTTTACCCAGCTGGGAAAAAAGGAAAGAAAAACAAAAACAATAGAAGCCATCACAAAAAGTTGAAATGGTTTCCATTAAAAATATCCCTAACAACCATAGGAGTTTGACATTTGTTTCCTGGAATGGGGATTTTTTTAGTATACAAACCATGCTATGGTATCTACATTTCAGTTATTTATAGCATATATAACCTTCTTCTACATATAAAAACAAATACAGTTAACAATGACTTCCAGGCATGATAAACAGTGAAATAATTAAGTAAATAGTAAGTAAAAGTAAATATCTTACCTCTATCTAAATAAATAAATAAATAAATAAATAAATAATACTGTATATGAATAATATGTATGTACTTTATATGTATTTGTTTAGCACACTTCTGCAGACTAAAGCAGAAACAATAAGAAGAGTAATAAATTAAGAATAACAAATAAAATGACACTATACTCACACACAGTGCTCAGCATTAATGAATACAACCCATTGGAAAATTTATATTTTTATACATTTTTCACTGAATATAGGTAATATATGTTGGTGTGTTTGAACAAAACAGCTTTATTAAACAGATATATTTATTAAAATAATATTTTAGTCACAGAACATATTTAGAAATTTAAAGATAATACAATTAAATTCAAGTAAAATGTTGCAAAAACATTACAAACAAAAAATTTCAACATTTTTTTTCTCTTGATTTTTGCTTCTAAAATAATAATAATAATAATAATAATAATAATAATAATAATAATAATAATAATAATAATAATAATAATCATAATAATATTTCCCCAACATCTAAATTTGAGCTACAAATTTTTGGACTGTGATTGTAAACTATTTTGTTAGATAAGCTCCAGATTTACTCCAGTTACTGACTAATCTAATGTATATGTACAAATATAATATTGTAAAGTATCCTACAGAAAATATGAATTTAAATACGATTTGTATGCTGAGGACTGTATATATATATATATATACACTCTTGGAAATAAAGGTACAAAATCTGTCACTATGGTGGTGCTTTTTCAAAAAGTAAATTGTTTTTATTCCTAACAGGTCATTATATTAAAAAGTACAAATGGATACCTCATAATTTCTCAACGATTTAAAAGTAACTCTAAAGTTACTAATGTCCACCTGTATGGTACAAATGTGTAACCGTTAAAAAGATACCACCCCAGTCACAGATGTTGTACCTTTATTCTAAATGTGTATTCTTATTCATTGTGTAAATGTCCTGTTGTAATTATATAACAATGTAAAACGTTTTTGATTAGCAATGCCCATTGCAAAACATTTAATTTAAAGTAATTTAAAGGTGATTTTCTCAGTATTTAACTGAACCGACTGATTTCAGATTTTGTATTCATCATTCAGTTTGTGTATAAATCTCAATTTCAAAATAATTGACACTTGTGATATTTTATTCGTTTCTGCTGTGATTTGGGACATATTCCATTTGAATTTATTGGTTCTAGCCAGAATTTTTAGACCCCCACAGACCATTAAAACCAATACAATTTCCAATTGAACCATTAAAACCATTACTAATTATATGATGGTTTCTATTGTTTTTTTTTTTTTGTTTTTTTTTGGAATGCAGAGAACAATAACACTAAGTGATTAGCAAGCTGTTTTGCACACAAAGAAATTCACACAGTACCACAAAGGAACCAATTAGAAGAGCTGGTGACTATTCTTAATGTGTTACGCCTCAAATGAGGGAGTCAGCAGGTCCAAAGGAAGAATCCTCACATTCCTGCACTTCTTCACCCCCATGAGACTCTATCAGCAAGCAGCCCAAGGACAGGGATGTGGGTGGAGGAGGAGGAAGGTTACATCTTTCTGAGTTATTGGGCTTCATTTGGGGGGATGGTTTGACAGGACAAACCAAACAAACAGAGCAGAGGTGTGAATTGATCCTTGTTACAGGTCAGATGTGTGAGAGGAACTGAGGTTAGGGGGAGGACGGACAGGAAGAGAAGAAACGCCACGTTCCACAGGTGTTCAGTTCGCTTTACCTGCAAGCTGTCTCTGAGAATAGAGACCAAAAAAAAAAAACATAGGGATTTCTTGCAAACTTTGCCGTGGGGCGAGATGAGAGGTGAAAAAGCTTTGTGCAAACAGGCCCCCGTCACACCTTAGCATCTCTTCATAACAAGGTCCATTCTGCTGCTGTCCGTGACGGCTTAGGATCATTTACTTCCAGATTTAGCTCTGGGTAAAACGTGCTGAAAGTTAAAATCTCTGTTTGCCCAAACAGATAAATAGGTAAATAAATAAAAGCATCCGTCAAACTGACAATGAAGACAGTAGGGAATGTTTATGCATCATGTGAGAATGTTATACTTAAAAAGCTGAAGAGGTGTTTGTTTTCCCGCAATATATACCGGCAGCATGCATGAGGCCTTGTTTACAACATCCACAAAGCATTTAACCGTATTCCTGCTGTTATACGGAGGCCGTTGTGGTTCGCTTATTTACCTTTAAATTGATTGGAAAAGATAGGAATTAGGTTTTTGTACATTTGAATAGTTTAATGTGCCTTTTAAGCAGAATTTAAAAGTATGGCAGATGTTTTTTTTTTTTTTTTTAGACATGTAATGACATTTATTTTTTTATTCAATCCATTAAATTAAACTTTATGCACAAACAGCTTAGATTTGAGTTAACATATGATTTGCATACAAGCATATTAAAATGTATGCAATTTCATTGTTCATCACGTTTTTTAAAATAAAAATAATTTTCAAATACCAGTAAACGCAAATGACACTAGCCTACATAATACATTTCTTCATTTTCTTTTCGGCTTAGTCCCTTTATTAATCAGGGGTCACAGCATATGTTTTACAAAGTGGATGCCCTTCCAGCCTCAACACAACACTGGGAAACACCCATACACCCTTGAATTCACACACATACACTGCGACCAATTTAGCTTTTTCAATTCAACTATAGTGCATGTCATTGGACTGTGGGGGAAAACCGAAGGAAACCCATATGAACATGGGGAGAACATGCAAACTCCACAACTAACGGTCGGGGCTCAACCCAGCGACCTTCTTGCTGTGAGGCGATCGTGCTTCCCACTGTGTCACTTTTTTTTTGCTTAAAGCACCATTTAAAAGCTTAACTATGTAGGTTATTAGGCAAAATAGGCATATTAGGTTAATTAGGCAATTTATTAGAAAGCAGTGGTTTATTCTGTAGACAAATGAAAAATAAGAATTTCTGATGGGGCTAAAAATACAGACCTTAAATTGTACATTTATTTCAATGTAAAAGCAGATTTTATTTGATCCAAATGAAAAGAAATAAGTAAAAAATAAATAAATCAATAAATAATAAAAATTTACAGAGGAAACTATTTGAAAAAATAAAAAAATAAACAATTGAAAAAAACTTTTGGCTTTGGTCAAAGACAAAATAAGTATTTTACAACAGGAAGCATTTGATGAAAAAATAAAAACCTTTATTTAATATTATAGTGCAGCCCAAAATATCTTATTATTAGCAATTTTATAATTTTACACTTCAGTGTTCATCTAACATTCGCTTCCCTGTTTCAACAGGATGATTTTATTCATTTAAAATATAATAAACATTTGTATGATCACTTATTCTTTTATACATTTACAATGCTCAGCAAATATGAGTACTCCCATCACAAATCTATCTTTCAAATTCATATTTGAAATAGGAAGCTATGCAATATTATATTTGTGCATATACATTAGATTATTCAGTACTGAAGCCAAATCTAGAGCTTATCTAACAAAATAACTTATGATAACAGTGCACAAACTAGTATACCCAATTTATATGTTATAGAAAAATATTAAATACAAATTTTTTAAAAAGAAGAAAAATAAAGAGAAGCAAAAAAATCTAAAAATGTAGTTGAAGTTGTGTAGGTTGTATATATATATATATATATATATATATATATATATATATATATATTTGCAATATTTTGCTTGAATTTAGTTGTATTATCTTTCGATTTCTAAATGTGTTTGGTGACTAAAATATTATTTTAATAAATAAATCTGTTTAGTTAATCTGTTTTGTTTAAATGGAGTAAAATACATGCCTATATTCAATGAGAAATGAATAAAAATATTAATTTTCAAAATGAGGTGTACTCTGTTATGCTGAGCACTAAAAGTTTCCACCATGAAACATGAAAGCTGATGAATTTTACTCACATTTATAATTTAGATATCTATTTATATAAATCCCTTTAGTACATTTGATTTGATACAGGCAGCAAAATGTGATGTATTGTCTTCAGCAAAATAGCACTTTCAAATGAAGAATTTGAATTAATTTAAGAACCAAAAATCAAACTCAGTTAATTCATGTAAAAGTGAACGTGTTGTTTTCTTAAGCTCTCAGACTAAGGATCACATTCCACCTGATGAATATGAAAAAAGATTAATGAGCATATAATAATATTCTCTGCATGGAAAGGCATTACAAAAATGCATAACCTAACCAACATATCCATTCTACCATACTCCAGACTGACATTTACCCCTCTCTGGGCTCTCGTTTGATTCTCCTGTCGACTTGGAATGCAAACAGACATTCATCATCCGGCTGTGTGTTCCTCTAACCCCCATGCTATGTGTCTTATTGAGGGAAGAAAACTTCTTTTTGTTTTCACTTCCTTTATCCTATGGACAAGACTTGATTCTTTCAGCATCCCGTTACTGTCATTCGTGAGGTTTTCTCTCTTTTGGGATTTGCCGACTGGTCAAACGATGCATTTCATCAGAGAATTTTAAAAACACTTCACTTATAAGTGCAGATTGAAAATAAAAATTAATTCCAAATGGTTAAAGGTCAGGTGTGAATTTGAATATGTGGTCCAACTTAAGCGGATATTAGG